GACCAATCGCGAAACAGCACACGGCCACAACCTCCAATGCCTCATCTCAATCTCAGATCCACTGATTTGATGAATGCGCTGTTAACATTCGCACAAAATGCTGTTAATACCTGAACAACACCTTGTCGATATTGCTAATCCTGGTTGATCGGTGAAGTCTTCAGAGCACTTGTCAGATATATGTCTCAAATTGAGGGTGTATCTTCTTTGACGCTGAGTACAACTCGCATAATGCAAGCTTTTTCCGTAAACAGCCAACAAAGCTCTAATACACGTGAAACTCTTCAAGCTCAGGTTCGCTAGCCTGCAACTTCCTTGAGCACATATGACGCAGTCGCTCGCGAAACTTCGTTTGATTCGACCATTGAGGAGAAAACGCGATGCTCTTAATTTGAACGCCGTTCCTACCATCAGAACAGGGGCGGACAATTATCGGTATCTCGACACCTGGACATCGGATAATGAGATCACCTGGCTTGACATTTCGTCGACACTCGCCTATGCTGGCACGTCCGAGCGGTCCCGGGTTGGACCCCTGGAACAGTATTGTTGAGTCGTCTGCTAGAGCATTGCACACGGCGATATGGGTTCTGAGTAAATCAAGTTCTGTGGCCTTTGAAGTTCCCCAACTCGAGCCATCTCGCAAAAGGGATAAAAGCGCTGGGACCTCCTTGCGTCTGTGTCTGCATATGAAGCGTTCCCAACAGTCGAATTGAGCGAAAGTGCCGATGTGTCCATAGAATGGTAAATTCATGTTCGTTATCTCGAGAATCTGAAGCAGTCGTCCCAGATTGTGAATGTGTTTACGATATTCGGCCTGCTGGTATGTCGACTGAGTCTTGTAGAAGTCGAAGGTTGCAACGACTACGCCTTGTCGACGGCCATGGATTGATATCGCATGATCGCCCACCATAGAGATACGTATATTGCCTAGATTTTGGCGATCCTTGTCGTCTGCAACTTCACCAGGGGTAGCAAGAACTCGTGTCCGGTCAACATCACCAAAATCGCAATGTTTGCTGGTGCCGAACGGACACGAGCTCTTCTCACCGCTGGTGACGTGATTAGAGCGAATGAGTCTTTCGATATCACCCCATTTGTTCTCTCGGTATTCATTGGGCGTCCAATCCGGTACCCAAGACGGCTGCCCCTTCATGTTGTTCATTGCAGCGATCAGGACTAGATGGGGTGACCCTGTTATCTGGACCAGAAGCCGAGAGAACGAAAAGTAGATCGCTTCCTTGGATTCTCCATAATCTACCTGGGGAAGAGGATGCCGGGTGCGACGTTGCAAGATAGCCCAAAGGCCAAAGGCCATGTCTTTGGACACTGCAGCATCTCGGGTGTAAACACCGTCAATGAGATCGTTCACGTTGGTTTGGCGTTCTCCATTGCGGTACAAAACGCGCGGGGATGATAATAAGACCAGGCGTACCATCATCACGAGAATGATGAAGACGGCTGTCAACGAAACGGCCAGAATTACTTTGCGCTCATGAGGATCGGAACCAAGCAAGGCGGACCAGAGCAGGAAAACGAGTAATAACCCGAGGAAGTAGAAAGTTGCTCGATCGGTTAGGCGGTGAAGTCGACACATGCGTCTCGAAAATTCTGCATAGACTTCCAAAGAGGAGTCGCGCGCAGGATCTGAAGTTGTGCACTCCGGATTCATGTCTTGCCTACTCATAGCAACTCTCTTCCAAGGGCACATGTAAGACCCGAGACGAGGGCTCGCAGTAGCCAAAAAGACCAGACTGATTGCGAATCTGTCCCAGCAGATATGAGTGCTGCCGCAAACTATAATCGGGTTGGAGGCGAGAAGGATCTCTTGGTAGGTCCAGAGTCTACTGATCCAAGTCCGCTGTAGCAGATCCAAAAGGTCCGCTTCGGTTGCGTATTTTGTTTCTCTGTTGAACAATCGCAGTATGTAAGGACTCAGCGGGCCTCGCCATGTTCCGACAGAATCTTCTCAAGTCAGCGTAGATACGAGTTCGAGGTTATGACGCTTACCATGAAACACGAAAGGGTGCCTTGTCAAGCTCCAACGTGCTATAGTAGCAGAAAAGGCTGCGAGAAATGGGCGCCCATAATCAGCTCCGGGGGTTTTGGTATCACCACCCAACGCCTGGAAGTAGTCCAAGAAGCCAGCGGTTTCCATATATTCAATTGCGCGATCGGTTTTCTCGTTACCTTCGCCGAGCCACACGTACACAGTTGCTGCTCGCGAGTATACATCTCCCATCAGCGGAATCTGGTGTTCCTTTTCCTTCGTGTTCTTCTGGTCGATGCAGATCGCATCAATCCATATCGTAAAAGCGCCAAATCGCGTGCGTAGGTGCTGTAGCGCTGAATAGCCATTGACAGAGACGACGATGTCCACGCCGTTGCATGTAATAGTTCGATTGTCTTTCGGTGAGCCCCAGACGTAAGAGATGGCGGTAAAGTCGGGAGAGGTCTCTAGATCCACGATGCGGAGATGACCGACTACAGCGGCTGCTTCAGTCGACGCTCCATCGACATCGAGAACGCGTATGCACTTCGAGCTTGGAGGTATAGGTAACGAATGGTATGGCGCTGCGGCGGAGCCATGGGCCATGACAATTGATGCCTATCAACAAAGCATAATAAACCTCGGGTTCTGCGAAAAGGATAGATACGGCGGAGAGACGCGCTGCAACATGTCTATTAACGGTGTAGACCACAACACATGCAGGGGCAGCCAAGGAAACGTGGCTTGAGCGAAACTGTATTGTTGACTATTTCAGGTTGGCTTCGGTTCACGATGCTATCAAGGAGGCTATTGGGGGCCGGCCCGCATGATTGTATGGCTTCGCAAATGCTGTCTCTCAAATAAGGGACTTCGGGATGCCGTAGGTAGATTTGAGTAGGTACACATCGCCCCCAAGTCCATGGACGATTCCAGGGGCGTTGGTGCAGGAAATGAAGACGGTGCTTGAGCTTAGCTGGGTGCATATCTCCGAAGCGCCCAGGGCTGCCAGCCTACCAGCCACCCGCAGCCGCAGCCGCTCCTTTCACCACCTGTGCAGCCTTTCCACGGCAACAGCAGAAGATGACCGCGAGGAAACAGCCGTCGCGATAGATTACGAGTGTCGCACCTGGCTCGAGCGGCTCACGCGACGTTCGAATCGAAGCAATGTGTGTCTTGCGCAGTGCTGCGACATCTGCCGAAGAATGATCGACTCGGCTTCGCGATGACGTAATGTTCGCCTTGCACTGATTGATGATGCCAACACGCCCGTGAGATGCATTCCCGCCCGCCTACTCCAATATATCTTTTATATATCCAATCTGAAGAAACAAGACCAGTGGAGTTTGGAATATTGGGATTTGTTCACCATGGCCTCAAACACCTCGTCCACAGTCCCCCTCTGGATCGACAACAAGCCCATCCACACGCAAACCACCATCCCCGTGACCCAAGCCAGCACCTCCAAAACCATCCACCATGCCTCCTCCGCCTCCACCACTGAAGCAACACAAGCGGTCGTCTCTTCCTTCTCCGCTTTCAAATCTTGGCGCTCCACTTCCCACACAACCCGTCGCAACCTCCTCCAAAGCGTAGCCACCTACTATGCCGACAATGCCTCTATGCTCATCGCCGCGCAAATCGCCGAAACCTCCTGCACAGAAGCCTGGGCGCGTACAAACGTCAACCTCTCCATCTCGTACCTCAACGAAATCGCCGCACAGATAAGCAGCGTAACAGGCGTTATCCCCCCAACCGAGAAACCCAACACACAGGGTTTTGTGTTCAAAGAACCCATCGGACCTGTCTTGTGCATCGCGCCCTGGAACGCCGCACTCGTGTTAGCAACGAGAGGGATAGCAAGTGCGATAGCAGTTGGCTGCACCGTAGTCTTCAAAGCGAGTGAACTGTGTCCCCAAACCCACGGACTTATCACGCAAGCTTTCGCCGAGAGTGGGTGTCCAGATGGCGTGTTGAACCAAATTCAATGTGGGCGGGAAGATGCGGCTGAGGTGACAGAGACGTTGATAGCGCATGATGCGATTCGCAAGATTGAATTTATCGGCAGCGCGGAGGTGGGGAAGAAGATCATGGGCATCGCGGCGAAGTATCTCAAACCGGTTTTGATGGAACTAGGCGGGAAGTGTCCGGCGATTGTACTGGAGGAGGCGGATTTGGAGGAGGCGGCGAAGCAGTGCGGGATGGGCGCTGTGTTGAATCATGGGCAGATTTGCTTCAGTACTGAGAGGATCATTGTGATGGAGGGGGTGGCGGAGAGGTTTAAGACGTTGCTTGTGGAGGCTATGAAAGGGGTGGAAGGACCGGCTGGGTCCGCGGTGTCTGAGGGTATTAAGAAGCATGCTGCGGATGTTATAAGGGATGCGCAAGAGAAGGGCGATGAGGTGCTTGTTGGTGGGGTTGAGGCTACTTCTCCTGGGGGTGGGCTTGCGCTCAAACCTACGATCATCGTCAATCCCTCGCCTTCATCCCGTATCCTCGACGAAGAGACGTTCGGTCCTTCCGCTTCGCTTTACGTCGTTTCTTCAGATGAAGAAGCCGTCGCGTTGGCGAATCGCTCAGCATATGGTCTCAACGCTACGGTTTGGACGCGCGATATGGCTCGTTTCATGAAGATGTCGCGGGAACTGGAATATGGTCAAGTTCATGCCAACAGCATTTCAGTGTACACATCGCCTACTGGAAGTCAAGGCGGCGTCAAAGGAAGTGGGTTTGGGCGACAGAATGGACAGTGGGGACTAGACGAGTTTGTTGTCGAGAAGTTTGTCACTTGGTGTGGGTGAAGTGGGAGGCCTTGACATTACTCAAGAAAGACCACGCATTCAGGAACACGCAAAGGTTAATTTTACTGTTTTATTGTTTCAGGTGATGACCACGTCGTACTCTCATATACGGAAAAGTCCAACACACCCCAAGTATTAGTACCAATAGGCAGATTATTATTTCCTTCCATCCTTCCCCCTCAACCCAGAACGTGGACAAACACCAATGGCCCTTACCAGGTAAAAGTCATCAACTGGGGGTTGAGCACAATTGGCAACAAAAAGTGGAAGACGACCACGGTGCCCATAGGCCAAACGGCAATGAGCTCCTTGATCCTCCAATCCTCTTGTAGAGCAAAAGCCATGGTAATCATGATCGCAGTCATGCCAATGCAGAACATGAAGCTCCACTTGAACTTCCTCAGCACCCTGCTGATGGCGACGAAGAAACTGACTTGTTCGGTTTCCTTGGAAGTGGAACCCCACTCAAGAGGCCAGCTGACGAAATGCGCGAGGAGAGCTTGCGAGACGTGTAGAGAGATGCCGCCGAGGAAGATGCTGAGGAGAGGGATCCATTTGATGTTTGTCCAGAGGCCGCCGAAAAAGGAACCCTCGCCGATGCGGTAGCGGAGGACGGCGAGAGCGATGTTACCGAGGACACTGAAGACGATGATGATGGCAAAGTAGACTGATGAGTGTTAGTGATGCGCGAGACGAACAATGACGTGATGCTTACCGCGGAAGGAGTTGATGTAGTAATGGTCTAGCCATCCGTTGAAGAAACCAATCAAGAAGTAATTGAGCATGGTGAGAGCCCACGAGCAGCCGAGAGCGTAGTAGGTACCGATGTAAGCCATGATGGTGACTTTAGATGCGAGAGGCATGTTGGAACTGATATCATCGAATTAGTTGACGGACAGATAAGACGACACGATCTCTGAAGATCTACTTACAAGATGAAGGTGCGGAAGAGCTTGGTGAAAGGACCTCGGGTGAACCAGTAGATCAAAGGGTTGAAGATGAGTTCGTTGCAGCCATATGCATACCTAGAGATTGTGAGTTAGCAGCCGTAAGAGAGAGACGTTGGAAAGGGCAAGCATACTTCTCCCAACGGGCAAGCTCATCGTATACGGTAAGCGATACACCCTCCTTGAAGCCATCACCCTGGTATGAGGCCAATCGAATGATGTAACCAGCACTCTGCAGCCGCAGACTCATATCAAAGTCCTCAGACACCGTCTCCTCGGACCAGAATTTGTCGAACGTGTGGCCATCTTCTGTGACCTCGTAAGCCACCTTCTGAAGTGCCTCCCATCTCAGGATAGCGTTGTGGCCGACAAAAGGCGCGACGTCCCCACCAGCGACAGCAAATCGGATCATGGTGTAGATCATGTTGGTGAAGAAAGTGATGCCGTTTTCGAAGAAGCTGTTGGTGACGTTCATGACTCCGGAAGAGTACTGTAGGATGGCCACTTCCTGACCCTGCTCCATTTCGCTGACGGCCTCGAGCAGGCAGTCCTTAGGCACACGGGTGTCGGAATCGACGAGGAGAATGTGGTCGCCAATGCGGATGTTACCATCAACCCAAGCCCTGCCCTCGTGTTCAGCCCTGACAGATTCCAAGACTTCCCTGTAGAGGTCAGTCTCGTCCAGCTGGCTCCAGTTCTCTCCACGTTCATGTTGTGCCATAACCTCTTCAACCCTGCAGCTGATTCTTAGGGCGTAATTCATGTTGGATGCCTTCTTGAATTTTCCGGGGCGGACAAAGACGAACGGATCCGGTCCGTGCTCGCCCGTGGGATCATGCCTTGGGCGCGCCACCCAGCCAATGCCATGCTCGTCGTAAAATTCTTGGCGCTCCCTGGATTCCTCGGCTCCGAGAACCTGCACTGGGAAACGTCAGTGGGGCTTACATTACGCACTGGCGCAGCACTTACTTCCGTCGTCGTTGACGAAGATATTGGCACTTCCTCCCTGAAGCTCGTAGGTAGAGATGGCTTGCTTGAGCGACCGAATGGTGGGCTCAATGACACTGCGTAAACCCTCCTTGTAAACGGGCATCTGGATGGTTACATGTGGAAGCGGGCCGTTAAAGGTATCACAGTTGAGGCGCCTGGGGGCTTTGCCGGAGTAGTAGCGGCTGTTCTCTTTCATCTGATCGGTGGGGCCAATGATTTGGGCAAAGTTACCAACCAGCGCTTGGAAGAAGAACTAGTAAAGTCAGAAGCGAAATCATAGAGTGAGACATATGGCTTACCAATGATAGCCAGACTTGCGCGGGCAAGCAAATGAGGAAGAGCAGACGAAGCCAGTGCTTTGGGGCTTGGAACTCTTCGATCGCGATCTGCCTGTACCCGGATCCGATCGCTACCGTCAGGAGAAGAATGGACATTCCGCAGTAGGCAGCTTGCCACATCTTCATGTCTCGGGCCTCCTCACCATTGGCTTCTCTAGAATCGCGCGAGTCGTCGTAATCTTCCATGTCATTTGCGGGGTTCTTCCCTGACTTCTCCAACTCCAAGTCGTGCGCATCATAGCCGTATTCAGCTCCACACATCATCCTCATCATACAATTGATGATGAACTCAGCGCGTTCGAGCGTCAACTTTGGGTCATCCTGCCACACTACCAGCATGCCTCGTGAGGCGATGAAAGCAGCGGACTGACCCCTCTGACAGTGTGGCAAAGCTTCAAAATCGGGAACGATTTGCAAGCGAAGGCCGCTCTGAATTTGCACATACTGGGTATTGCATCGCTCAAGAATGTACTGGATGGCCCTGGTGTTGACGGTCATAGCGCACTGCAAAGTATTAGTGACAATGCCGTGCGGGTGTTTGGCGTTGTTAGACTCACTCGGACGTTCAACTCGGTAACAGCTTCAATGAGACCTGTACCGTCGGTACGAAGCGCATCGGGAGCGCAGGAATAGCGTCCCCTTGACTTCTTCATGAAGACACCTTCGCCAGCTGATCCAAAGGTCCATACCCGCTCCTCCTGCTTGGTGTGGAGCCAGTTGGCCAGGAGCTCAGCCTTGACGTCGACAAGAGCATCTGTGCGCACGGTACTGTCGCTGCCGTGGATGCTGGGAGCCCCGCCGGAATGAGCGCTAGCTGGGCCAAGCTGCATAGGTGTGAAGCTAGCCGGTGACTCGTCGCCAGCTCGGGGTGTTGGCGCCAGAGGATTTTGGGGGGGAAGTTCCTCGCTCCCAGGAGTGTCGTTATGCGGTCGAGAGACATTGTCTCCTTTTCTGAAAATGCCGGGTAACCTCATTTCTGCGTCTTCTCATATGAAGCCAGGGTGGAGAAGGTTTGTGCGATGTGCGTCTGAACGACGAAGAACAAAGGTGCACACGGATGTTAGGTAACGACTGAGAAGAAGGTAACACCAAGCGGGCAGCGAGGTGAAGAGATACTCAGCCTGATATTTAAAAAGTGCACACTTTTTCTAGGTGTACGTGCGGTGGGAGAAGTACCCACACTACTATAAGCGATTACCAGCAGCCACAACTGCACGAGTTCAGTATGAAAACAGTGTAGTGTGGCGATAGGCAATTGGTACTGGTACGCCTAACCTGTATTGAAGTTGTCTTGGGTGAGCCATGCAGGATAAGGTGGACTTGGAGCTTCATGGTGCCACGGAACCCCAGATAAAAGTAGTCTTGTTGGGTCGTGGTGGAAATCGCGTCTGTGCTCTGTTACATGAGCGCTACCGCATGCTCTTTCTTGCCTCCACAGCCAGTAGATACAACACTCGGACATGTAACGAGGTTGCTCATGGAGATAAGATGCGCTATCATCAGTGACATTGGAACCGTACCAACTTGAGAGTGTTTGTAGCTTTGGGGCTGTTTTAGCCAATGACTCGGCAGTGTGTACAAGTGCCAGATACCCCTAAGCCCTGTGAATATGTCGGAACTGCCTGGCAGATCGTTTAGGAAAGACGCGACAGCGTTTCTGTGTGTGTGTGAGATGACGCGATGCTGAACATAGCTTGTGGGTAACGATACGCGAACGGGAGGTCCGCGCATCCAAAAGAAAATCCCATCTTCTTACATGAAATATGGTCTTGGGAGGCCAGGCGTCCTTTGTGTTGCCACTGAGGTGGGGCGCCTATAGCTTAACAGCGGGCCAGCTTTGCGCGCTTTAGACCACGCGCATCGAGAAAACCGTAAAGCCCGTCATTGCTACGCAACAATCGTGTCTTATTACCAAGATTACCGCAGACCTAGACGATTAGACAAAGTGAGGTTGGAAAGATCAACGGTTCTTTAGCGAGGACCCACGCGTGACGAATCCGCGTCGCTGCGTTCGCATTGCCAACGATGTCGCACCACCGATACAAGCATGGACCGAAAGAGAACGAAAAGAGATTGTGTACGAGCCTGTAAAGCCATAGCGACCACAAGATCACCGCCTCGCCACAAAGATTGCGACGGGCCCAGCAGCGCCAGAAGAGCTCTGGTCTTTGGCCCAGACACGTGACCCTTAACGGATACGTTTACTGCTGGACAAAATGGAAGACAGTTGCATGATTTTCATTGGTGTGTGAACTCCGTCGCGTAGAAGACTTTGGAAAATGCCGCAAGTTTAGTCATCGAATCCTGGAATATGGTGCGACCCACGTACTCCATGCGCCTGGGCGAAAAGTCGACAAGATGTAAAATTGGAAAGGAAATGGGGAGTTTGGGATCTCAAACACGGCGGATTTTAATCGGCAAGTCTAGAGAATTAGTATATCGCTTCCACAAGCAGTGCATGAAGTCACTCACCTGTAGCTCACTAGTGTGTCCACACGATGGTTGCTTGTGCTGAAGCTGCGCAGCTGCACCTTCTCCCCATTCTTGATCTCCTTGGCGTCACTGTCACCCCACTCGAGAGGCACTTCAGAGTCCGCGTCGGCATAGACAAGAACGTTGAAGGTACAGTTTCCGTCCAGCATTGGTAGGAAAGTCACGGAGGCGGTGATCTGCCTGAAGACAGACTGGATCTCGGCCTGGATTTCAGCTTCGGTCTTGTCTTCTGATGCTTCGCTGGCACTGGGAGTTGTCAGCATGTGTTCAAAATGGCTGGCCTTTTTCGCTCACTCTGGAACGGAATTCTCTTGGTCTGCCGTCTTTTTGGAAGATTTTGCCTTGGCGCTCTTTCCGTAGATTTGTACGTCGAATTGCCAGCGTTCAACATGCTCTCCAGTCTCTTTGCTCGTGATGACGATGACAAGCTTTGAGATCTTGCCCCCGTACATCCACTCCTTCAGCTGGCCCATGATCTTCTTGATGTAGGCCTTGACTTGGTCATCGGCAGTCACTGGGAAGGTTAGAGTGTGGCTGATGGCAGGACTGGCAGGTTACATACCCATCATAGTCAAACCATATTTCTTCACGCTGCATCTCGTTAATGGCTGGTTGGGGTCGAGGTGTAGTACAGGCTTACGCGGTGAAGTCCTCGGCGGGGTACACGCCTCTTTGGAACCTGAGCAGAGTAAGTCACCTAGGTCATAGGCTACAATGCGCTCATCATGCTTACAGGATGGTGTTTACGGAATACTCAAACTAATTGGGGTAAGCGTAGGATGCATTGCTTGGCCTGACCGACTTACAAACTCATTGACGAGTTTCGAAGAGCCCTTGAGCGCAAGCTTGTGCACCTTGGAGGAATCGCTCTTTGAGGACTTTGATTCGCCCTTTGAAGATTTGGACTTGGAAGAGGTCTTGGGTTGAGACATTGCGGTGATAGCGCGTCGTGAAGGTTGGCGGTGTGTTGTTTACGGGGTTTGTTGATAGGGTAACTGCGACCAGCGTGACCTGGCGGAACAGGAAGCAACGAGACAGCGCAGCAAGGCTGTTCAGAGAGGGCGCAATCGACGACCGAGTGTCTCCGAAGATCAGAGTTGGGCCTAGTATGCTTGCGGGGTACTGGAGATGTTCACGGGTCGGATGGGAGGTCTGGTAGTGGGTCGGGGTGCAGATGCAGGAACCGCCCGTCGCCGATAAGATAAGATGGATCAAAAAAGTCGTCGACACCACCGCCCGAGCGACGAGCAGGCAGGCACGGATCCGACCTCATGCCCACTCATGCGATCATGCGTGCGAACTGCGAGCAGCCTTCTGCACGGCTGGCGGACGCCCTCGGCCCGCTGCAATGGCTTCCCGCGCACCTCACGCCTGCTTGAGCGCCTGCCGCCCCTCGCCAGAAGCTATGCGCAGGCCTTCCGTCCCCAGTCAGAGCTCGAGAAGCGCATCGCCGACATCCCCATCGACCGCTACCGCAATTTCTGCATCGTCGCCCACGTCGACCATGGCAAGTCGACCCTCTCGGACCGCCTGCTGGAGATCACGGGCACCATCCAGCCCGGCGGCCAGAAGCAGTTCCTCGACAAGCTCGACGTGGAGAGGGAGCGCGGCATCACTGTCAAGGCACAGACATGCAGTATGATATACAATCACGAGGGGCAGGACTACCTGCTGCATCTGGTAGATACGCCCGGCCACGTCGACTTCCGAGCCGAGGTGTCGCGGAGTTACGCCAGCTGTGGAGGGGCCCTGCTGCTGGTGGATGCCAGCCAGGGCGTGCAGGCGCAGACAGTCGCCAACTTCTATCTCGCCTTCGCCCAAGGCCTCACGCTGGTCCCCGTGCTGAACAAGGTCGACCTCCCCCACGCCGACTCGCCGCGGGTGCTTGAGCAGATGCACGAAACCTTCGAGCTCGACCCCAAAGACGCCGTACTTGTCTCAGCCAAGACCGGCCTCAACGTCGCTGCCCTCCTTCCTACCGTTGTCGACAAGATACCCGCCCCAGTCGGCGATCTGAAGAAGCCTCTCCGCATGCTCCTCGTCGATTCGTGGTACGATGTATACAAGGGCGTCATCCTGCTGGTGCGCATATTCGATGGGCAGGTGCGGCCTGGGGACACCATACGCTCCTTCGCAACCAAGCTGAAGTACATCGTGGGCGAGGTCGGCATCATGTACCCCGACCAGACCCCGCAGACGGTGCTCAAGGCCGGGCAGGTGGGCTACATCTACTTCAACCCTGGCATGAAGCGCTCGCAAGAGGCCAAGGTCGGCGACACCTACACCACCATCGGATCTGAGAAGCTGGTAGAGCCATATCCAGGCTTTGAAGAGCCCAAGAGCATGGTCTTCGTCTCCGCCTTCCCCACAGACCAGGACCTCCATGAGCATCTCGAAGACAGCATCCAGCAGATCATCCTCAACGACCGCAGTGTTACATTGCAAAAGGAATCGTCCGATGCTTTGGGGGCTGGCTGGCGCTTGGGCTTCTTGGGCACACTGCACTGTTCCGTCTTTGAGGACCGCTTGCGTCAGGAACACGGTGCCAACATCATCATTACACCGCCCTCAGTACCCTTCAAAGTCATTTGGAAAGACAGCACCGAGTCCATCATCACCAACCCCAATGAGTTCCCCGATCAAGACCAAGCGCATTTCAGAGTGCAGGAGGTCCATGAGCCCTACGTATCTGCAACCATCACGATGCCTGACGAATATCTTGGTGAGGTCATCAAGCTTTGTGAGGCCAATCGCGGCGAGCAGAAAGAGCTTACCTTCTTCACCGCCACCCAAGTCATTCTCAAGTACGACATCCCGCTGTCGCATCTTGTTGATGATTTCTTCGGCAAACTCAAAGGCTCCACCAAAGGTTACGCCTCTCTTGACTACGAAGACGCAGGCTTCCGCAGGTCGTCCATCATCAAGCTCAACCTACTTGTCAACGGCTCCCCAGTCGATGCCGTGTCGCGCGTGCTGCACACATCGCAAGTTGATAGAGTGGGCCGCATATGGGTCGAGAAGTTCAAGGAGCATGTCGAGCGACAAATGTTTGAGGTCATCATACAGGCTGCAGCCGGCAGGAGAATCGTGGCGCGAGCTACCATCAAGCCGTACCGCAAGGATGTCCTCGCCAAGCTCCATGCTAGTGATCTCAGCAGACGGCGCAAGCTCCTCGAGAAGCAGAAGGAGGGCAGGAAGAAGCTGAGGTCGGTAGGAAGTGTCGTTATCGAGCAGGAAGCGTTCCAGAAGTTCTTGGCCAAATAGAAAAATCAATCGTCTTATCCGCTCTTCATCACGTACCCCAGCGCTAAACCCCCGGGTGCGAACACACGGCAGAACTCGCCGTTGGCCAAGCCCGTCCGCTCGTTCATTAGGACGGCATGTCCGATAATTCTCAACCGTGTGCATAAGTCGCGATAGTATAATACTAGACATGCATCGCCATTCAGCGCCATGACATTGAGCCTGCAATAGGCCCCGATTCTCCCTCCCGTTCCCCTATCAACCTTGGAAGCGTTGATTCGCTGGTCATCCCATCCGATATCACCCAACAATAGCAACAATACAACGGTTCACCGCGCTCAGCCGTTTCGGCTAGTAACGAGTCATCTCGATGCCGAACAACTGGTGGTCTGCGAAGTCCGTGCAGTGTCTCAACGTGCTCGATCTTTCAGCTGATCAGCGCTAACAGGTCGATGACATCAGCCAGCCATCGAGATCGCGCGTGTCGGCCTTTTCCAAGAACCACTCGGCTTGCGTTACAGCTCGCGTACCTGACAGCAACGATCTCTAGTGCGGCTTGGATCTATAGCTAAGCCGTCTCCAGCTTGGTGTCGCGATACTCGACCCTGGGTTGCATAATGCTTCGGACGGTACGCTTGGGGAAGTGCGCCGACATGACGTTTGCCCGAGGGCCAACTTTTCTACGTGTCGGAACCGAGAGAGACATTGGCAGGGCGTCAACAGCCTTTGTTCAAGCACAATTAAACCTACGAAGCGAACCTTTTCAGATCCCGCTGATACTGGGATATTTACACTTCGAGTGACAGGTCGTGGGCTGTATCTTGATGTCTAGCGGCATGTAGCGCATCTTGACAACGCTCGCTAATCTCTGCAGAGCCTAGCCGACCATGTTGACATCAAGGATGCCATGAACCTCCGAACGGCACGCTTGCGACGATCCTGCGGGCATGACGTTAGGCTGATGGCCAGACCAGGACGCCTGGACGGGCGGGCAACATGGGCAAATCTCAAATCTAAGAGACGTGCCGCTGCGGGCTGCAATACCTGCGTTGGTATGAGTTTGGGTTGTTCCTCGCACTTGACAGCCCGCAGGACGGTCTTTTCAATCTCCTGCTCCCCTGCGTGACTTGTCGAGGCTTCATCAAGATGGCGAGATTCTTGGGCCTCAGAGGTCGCAGTCTAGCGAGCGCCATTAGCATCACGTGTGGGCTTTGCTTTTTGTGAGTTACCCCATCCGTGTGTGTCGCGTAGATTATTCAAGGACTAATCGGTCAAAGATGTTTCGGCTATGCCCAGGGTGTTATGGGCGGTCTCTTGACTGTCCAGCAGTTCTTGGACAGATTCCCTCAGGTTGACATTGTCAACCAGAGTTCGTTCCACAATGCGTGGGTCACAGGTACGTCGAACCAAGTCTTGTGGGCGCATCAAGGCCTCAGATTGGTACTGGAGCATGCAGGGTCCTGACTGACATCAATAGGTCTTACGGTCGGAACATGGCACCTGGGCTGTATCGTCTCAGCCATCGCGACAATCTTCGTTGGTGACCTGCTAGGTCGTCGGCGCACACTCATCCTCGGTCTTACCTTTTGGGTGATTGGCGAAATCATTCAGACGTCTTCCTACAGCTTTCCGCAGTTCATCGTCGGTCGCGCGATCGCTGGTTTCGGTAAGCTCTTTGACATCTTGTAGGACAGAACTCCGGACACGAAAACTGACGCTGCAACATAGGCAATGGCTTCACCACTTCCACGGCCCCCGCATACCAGGCAGAATGCGTCAAGTCGCACCGCAAAGGAACCATTCTCATGATCAGCGCAGGAGCGTTTGTCTCCGCCGGTATCGCGCTCTCGTACTGGTTCGTCTTCGGCTTCGCATACCTCACTAGTTCGTCGGCATCATGGCGCGTCCCTATCGCTCTACAGATCATGTTCGCGCTCCCCGCCATCGCAATGCTCTTCGTGCTTCCCGAATCGCCGCGATGGCTCATCCTTACTGGACGCGAACAAGAGGCGCTCACTGTGCTCGCGGCGTTGAACGATGATGAGCCCGACAGCTTCGAGACGAAAGACGAGTTCCTACAAATCAAGGACGCCATCTTGATCATGGCACAAGGGTCGAGCGCTGGCCTGTTCTCAAACAAGGAGCGCCGAGGATTCCATCGTGTTGTGTTGGCGTACTTCGTGCAAGTCTTCCAACAGGGCACTGGTATCAACCTGGTCTTGCAGTATCTTTCGTGGATCTTCCTGACACGCATGTCCTTCGAGGGATGGTTGGCTCGTCTCCTGGCATCCTGCTCAGCGACCGTCTACTTCCTTGCCTCATTCATCGTCGTTGTCGGTATTGATCGCTTCTGGGGTCGTCGCTCACTGATGATGTTTGGTGCTTCGGGCATGTCAGTATGCATGATACTCATCACTATTCTACAGTACCTGTGGTCCGAGCGCAATATGCAGGCTGGAAGGATCGCCAGCACTGTGTTCTTGTTCATCTTCTCCGTCTTCTTCGCTATTGGATGGCAGGGTATGGCTTGGTTGTACCAAGTCGAAATCGTGCCACTTCGGATTCGAGGGCCTGCTAACGGTCTTTCGACGAGTGCCAACTGGTTGCTCAACTTTGTGTAAGTCACAATCCGGGTCCATCGCATTAGCTGCGCGACTAACATTGAAACAGTATCGTCTTCATCACCCCGATCGCATTCCAGCGCATTTCCTATCGTACATGGATCATCTTCGCCGTCACAAACTTCGCCATCATCCCCTTGGTTTACTTCTTCTACCCTGAAACCGCCTTCCGCTCGCTCGAGGAGGTCGATGTCATCTTCCAGCTTGCGCACGATGCGCCCGGCAACCCTTGGCTCACCGCCGTTGGCTTTTCTCAAAGCGAGCCTCTCTGGTTCGGAAAGAAGGACCCGGAGAAGCGACTCAATTTCAACTACGGAAACAGCTCGTGGCACAAGAGACTCGTCGAAAGCGTCCTCAGTCGTGACAGTGGCAGTGGAAGCAACACGAACAGCGGCCACACCGAGAAGCGACCCTGGAGTAACGGCGAAAGCCCAGACTCTGGCGAGACAGCCGCACCTACCATCCCTCGTGGACGAAAGAGATCAGAAGAGTCACCCGTGGACCCTCGCCTGCACCTTTCCCCACCATCAAGCCCAACAACGACCATGACGACGACCATCACCAGCACAAATCGCCCACGACGCAAGCTACAGAAGCGCAACAGCAGCGCCAGCAGCATAGCTAGTCGCGCAAGCCGGTCCCAACCACCACCACCCGTCTTTGGTCTCTACAACCGATCTGCGGAAACGCATCAACCAACCATGCCACACCACCGCCACACACGCAGCACCTCAACAGACTCCCTCCACTCCGTACGCCCAGAATGGTGGACAGAAAATCTTACACCCGCGCCCGTCTCCACACGCAGCAGATCTTCAAGCAGGCCAGGTAGCGCAATAGAGACAACGGAGACCCGCGGCCGCCCAGCATCCCGCGTCTCCACAAGAAGCGTATCGAACAACGCGCTTAACCGCTTCGTCAACCCTGATCTACTCGACCAACAACAGCAACAACGACAGCAACCTCGGAGAGCGGCATCGCATTCGTCGCTTCAGCAACAATTTGCCGACCATGGCTTTGAACCCGTGGTTGGTAGAGACAGCGTTGACTACCCTGGTATGCTCGGCGGCGAAGAGCGCGGCAGAGGGAGGAGTGGTGTTGTGAGGACGGAGAGCGAGAGGGAGACGTACCTCCCTGATGGTGTGTATGAGGTTGTTGAGGGTAGAGTGAGGCAACTTAGTGCTGGGCCCGTAAGACCAGAGAGCGTGGGGAGTTCGAGGAGGTACTCGGCCAGGGACGCTGGGTATGCACGATAAGAGGCGATCTGGTGACCTGCTACTCTCATCTCGGTTTGTCTCGTGGCGCAACACCACTAATTTCTTTTGTAATCTTCGGCTACTAGCTATTGATACACGCCTTTGTAATACATACATGTGCAACCTTACCGTGTAATCATAAATGGAAACTTGTAGTAGTTACAATCACTTGCAGTGTGCTATGGTGGTGGAGAGGTGTGGATTTCATTTACTTCGTTAAGTTTGTGTACTCGTAATTTCTTCATCAACAGGAGGTCTTTGACCTTGATTCAAGATAACGATGCTTTGAAGAGGTTTGAACGAGTGTGGTGAAAAGTCAGTTGGGGGGAAAGAGTAAGTATGCCAGGATACCTGATGTTTGCAAGAATTCTTCGTCATTGGTGCCAAGAAGATGAGCGTGCGGGTTTTGCGACTGAGCGGCTTCTGCGGACGGATGGTGCTCGTGCGATCCAAGATCAGTCATGCTTATACAGTCTGCACTTTCATCCGAAGCGCATTTCGATAGCGTAGGCAGTGGTCGCAGTTCTTCTGTACGAAGCCTTGAGCACTGCATGTCGTGCAGTCGGGTCCGCGATGACTATCCTCGAGTCAGCAATCTCGACTGTCATTATGCCTCTCGATTGAGAATGCATGCACAGACTGTACCCTTGGGGACGCCCTTTACATAGGGGACAGGTGGACGTAATCACGGCTTGAGGATGGTCTGAAAAGCACGACGGCGGACTCAGACTAGCCGTTGAGATCTGATTGGGGCTGTATGGCATTGTGGTTGACATCGTGGAGTGCGACGAATGTTCAAATATTTTGCGAGAAGTTGTTTGAGGTAGCAATGAGATGCAAAGTTGAGCCAGTAGAGTTTGATGAAGCAGATCGATGCGGCGAAACGACCATTGAAACGAGGCATCGTGACTTGATGTCTGTTATATACGGTTGCAATGAGATCGCATCTGCTTCGATGCCGTGTCGACAATGTGCATGCTTACTATTCGTCACAGTCTTTGGCGAACATTGCAACAGCCTGTCGCGCTGGCACTCGCGCGACGTTTCAGGGAACTAGATAAGAGAAGCTGCGTGACTATCGTCAAAGCGAATGGCTGTTGGGAGCGTATGATGCTGTAGTCGTCATTTCTGGGGTTGCACTCAC